GAAAGGGCAGACCAGGGAGGGGCATACTGACCTCCCGGCGCAACGCGCATCTGCGGCGGCACCTGGCTACCCATGCGGAGCCAGGGCAGGAGCAGGCCGAGCCCCCGCAGGAGTGCGTGGAGTGTGGCAAGAGCTTCAGCCGCAGCTGCAATCTGCTGCGACACCTGCTGGTGCACACGGGCGCCAGGCCCTACTCCTGCACGCAATGTGGCCGCAGCTTCAGCCGCAACTCCCACCTGCTGCGCCACCTGCGCACCCATGCCCGCGAGACGCTATACTAGCTTGGCCCGCCTTCCGCCAGCCGTGCCCTGCGCCACCTACCCGGGGTCCTCCACAGCGGAGGCCTGCAGGAATGTCCTTTCCTACCACACCCCACTTCCCTCTCCTTCCATTTTCATGGCTGTCCTTCCCCGCCCGAGGCATTGCTTTCCGGCCTCAGCAATGTAATTAAAACGCCCGAAGTAAAATGGCCTTCTCCAAAATGGCCCCTCTTTATTTCTTTACAAGTCCACCAAAATTCGAACTGTCAGCTGTCCCTCTGGGGCACAGGGACACAGCTGCACCTCTGGAGCAGGCTGCCTGGAAGCAGGTGGGGGGAGAGTGTTGCCACCCGAAGTGGGAGAGAAGGGGGAGATGTCAGCCTTCACAGCCAGCTGTGGGGAGGGCCAAGGAATCTGACCCTGGAATGTTTTCTCCTCTGGAGTCTGCCCTGGATCTGTGCTGTGCAGTAAGTACTCACTAGTCACATAAGACTCCTTGACTTGGCTCAGCGTGGTGCCCATGCTCCCAGCACTTTGAGAGGCCGAGGCAGGTGGATCACCTGAGGTCAGGAGTTCAAGACCAGCCTGATCAACATGGTGAAACCCCTGTCTCTACAAAAAATACAAAAATTAGCCGGGCGTGGTGGTGTGTACCTGTAGTCCCAGCATCCTGGGAGACTGAAACAGGAGAATTGCTTGAACACAGGAGGCAGAGGTTGCAGTGAGCCTAGATCATGCCATTGCACTCCAGCCTGGGCAACAGAGTGAGACTATGTCACCAGATGTTGCAGGAGAAATTCCTCTCGTGGAAGACCCCAGGAAAGGACATTTCAAGGAGGAGGGATCAGTCAACTGAGAGATGGAGGGTGAAGAGTTGGGAGAGGCCACATTTGAAGCACGGGAAGCCCTCCTGATGTATTGAGTGCCTACTGTGTGCCAGGGAAGGTGCTGGGTTATTGAGGGGAATAAGGGGAAGGCGGCCTGGGAAGGATGTGGGAGGGGCGGCCCAGGCAGAGGGAGTAGCAGGAAGCCAGGCCTGGGGAAGGGAGGAGCCCCAGATGCAGCTGGACAGCATCTGTCCCGGAGGGGGACAAAAAAGCTCCCAATGCCTGGGGCCTGACAGGTCAGCCCTGGGCTCATGTGCAATGGGAGACCTGCAGAGGGCTCAGGAAGGGAGGGATTTCTTCTCTAGTAATAAACTCACTTCAGCTGTGGCTACTGCATGGAAATGGCTTGAGAGAGGCAAGACCAGAAACACCAGCTAGGAGGCTGCGACTGCTGTCCAGGCTGGGGGTGACAGAGTGCCTGGGGACCACAGCACAGCAGGAGGGATTTCTAGGTAAGAGGAAGCCAAGGGGGACATGAGGGGTGAGTCAAGGGGGACACGGAGTCACTGGAGAGGTTGGGGAAATGGTAGAAAGAACTTGAGCAGCTGGGCGCGGTGGCTCACACCTATAATCCCAGCACTTTGGGAGGCCGAGGTAGGTGGATCACCTGAGGCCAGGAGTTAGAGACCAGCCTGGCCAACATGGAGAAACCGCGTCTGTACTAAAAATACAAAATTAGCCGGGCGTGGTGACATATGCCTGTAATCCCAGCTACTTGGGAGGCTGAGGCAAGAGAATTGCTTGAACCCAGGAGGCAGAGATTGTGCCATTGCACTCCAGCCTGGGCAACAAGAGTGAAACTCTGTCTCAGAAAAACAAAACAAAACAAAAAACTTGAGCAGTGGTGGACAGGAGATCCCAGCATGTGGCACAGGGTAAGGAGAGGCG